GCTTTACTACGACGGCCATCTTGGATGGTACACATACATAACTCTGCATTGCTGCGCCATCTTGTCAACACTCTAGTTGTTTAATAGCTCTATGGACTACTCATACAACAGAAATAAACGTCGCATGGAGATCTAAATGAAAAAACGATATATTTCAGCAAGTATTAAAATCTTTTTGTTTTATTTTAGGCCTTCTTCAAAATACCTATGCCACAGCAGTTAATTTTTTTGCCGTAAAACCAAAATAGTTTCATGCATGCCGACCGGTTAGCGTGAGCCCTGAATCAACATCGAACTTCGCATCGCGATGTAAAACAAAATGTCGGAAAACTTTTCTTTGACGCATGCGCATTTGCATAAATGTCTACACACATACGCACACACATACTACACACAATAAAAAACAAAAGAAATGTGACAGAGTGATTACAATAGTTCCTATTGCATTACATGCATAGGAACTAATTATGATAAAATAATAATAATAACAATAATAATAATAATAATAGTAATAATAATAATAATAATTCAATAAATAATATTAATTTTCCTGTATTCTTTACAGCTCTACTGTAAAGAATACAGGAAAATTATTATTATTTATTGAATTATTATTATTATTATTATTATTATTATTATTATTATTATTTTATCATAATACAACTGGTAGGCAGATAATTTTAGGATTTTATACGAAGGTCTGTAAATCAGCAAAAAAAAAACTGGTGATAAATGTTTCATGAACAACTCTTGCTTTAATTGAAATTCTTGAGGGATGTTTTTTTAATTTTTTTTTTTAAAGATAGTATCCTTGTCGTATGGTTTGAAATGTCAGATGTTTCAGCACCTCATTATACAGCTCACTCCACACTATCAAATTTTATGTCAAATGCCCATATTTGGGTGTAATATGACATCACCATGCCCATATATGAGCACATCACACACATTTGTCACATAACTATTAAATTTGGAGCACAAATCTAACACATTCTTTTTCACTTTTAAAGTTGAAACAATTTTTAAATATATATACATTTTACTAACATTAATGAATTACTAGAAA